CCCCCCCCCCCCCCCACCGCCACTTCAAAGATGTCCCTTAGCCCATATTCTCCACTCCTTCCCCAAAACCTGCACCTGGCACCTGGCACACCAAACACCCACACTGGGGAGATGGTCTGAGGCTCCAGGGCCACGCTGAAGAGGTCAGTCCCGCCTGCGCTTTTGCCTCCACCAGCTGACCTTTATGAACAACAGACACACTGGTTAGGCCATAAACTTGGTAACACCAGTTATAAGTGTTACTGTAACAACATAATTTATTTTAGTCTCATGAAACAACAGTGTGAAAATACCAGTTTCTATGAGAACTAAGTTGAATGCTCTGGAAAGGCAAATCTCTTTAAAATCTGGTGTTAAATTAGGTGTGAATAAGAAAATCATAAGACTTGAGGGGGAGGCTGTGTAAAAAGTTAGAACAATTCTGCACCCAGACTGCTCTGCAAATCTTGCTTTACTCCAAAGAAAATGAGATTGTAGACACTGTGTTAGGGAGTAGCTTGCATATGAAAGGCAACTCAGAGCTCCAGCCAGCGGGCTCATGTGGGAAGAAAGCTGGGTTGGCAGAAGGTCTGCCAGCAAGTGCAGATGGAACGAAGCTGTGGAGGCCCTGTGGAGAGGGCCAGAGCCAGAGAAGTGAACCCTGCTCAGGAACGCACGGCGCAATTCAAGTCCTTGACTGAGGTTTCCTCCAGGAAGCCTAACTGGAGAATACCTCTACAGCACAGCGAAGCTGCAGGAACTGAGGAAGAAGAGGCGACGGAGAGAGATGACCACGCCATGCCACGCTCACTCGCTCAGACAGAAAAAAGCCACAACGGTGACAGGGCCCACCTGAGGGCATGGGGATTGGAGCCCGCAAACTATAACTTCTTGTTATTGGCAAACCAGCAAGGCCTAGAGCTTTTAAAAATGTAAATCCTGACCAAGAAGAAAACACAAAATATAGCTGACTTACTGAATTCAGACCAAATGAACTGAAGATAACATATGGATTACATTGGCCATTTGTGGAAAATTGAAATTATAGATGATACAGAAACCATACATGCTTCAAAAAACAGCGTGAAGAAGACCCAGGCCTGAATTCAGAAAGTACATCTGCTCCCACAGGGTGATGCCGCAGCCCAGCCTGGACTGACCACGGCACGTGGGGCTGGCGAGGAGGGTACGAGGCCATGACCGCTGCAATACCCCATCGCAACTCACAGTGCTGGGATTACCAAATAAGTATGCATGTACATGTTTTAAGTTAAAATATATTATGTTAAAGTTATAAAAGTGCTATTTTTTATGATTCTCTGCTCTAAGGGACTTTTTTGATTATCCAACCAGAGTCCAATCTCAGGGGACAAGAAATCTCCTCCTACTGTAGCTACAAAAATAACACAAAGAAAACAAAACAGAGCTATTCAGTTCTAGCTAGATACTATTACCTGCTGAAGGCGCTTGAGCTTGGTTAAAAAGTTAGGGAAACCTTTAAGACAGAACAGCACCAATTTGAGACATTTTTCTGAACTTGATAAAGGAGATTTAAAGATAACTGGAAAAGGATTAACTCTCCGATAACTCACTGCATTTCTGCCACACCCAAGCATAACCCAAGCCATCTCACCTGTCATGCAATGTGAGTCCCTTGCTCTGGGCAACCCTGCCTCATCTTCTCTGGACCCTCAGCTACTCCTCACACTCCCTACCCATGGGTTAGGGTTAGGGCTAGGGTTAGCAGGGCGAGGGCCGAGCCCAGCAGAGGCAGCTGCAGGGAGCAGTGCGAACAGTAATCACGATAGCTCTCGTTGGAAGGAAGCATCCGGGGGTCTGCTCAGACCAAGCCCCCCAGTCTCCACCAGCCCCTCCAGTCTCTTCTCTGGACTCGTGCCTCTGCTTTTCTAAGTCCCAGATTTTGCTTCTCTTGGGGGACCCTTTTTGCTGGACACCCCTGCCCCATCACTTTCCATCAACACCCAATTTCTCCTTCTCGTCCCACTTCAAAATGAATGCCACTTCTGTCTGCTCATCAGAGCTCATGCCTGAATCTCTCACAACATTGCTTGTCTCCTTCCTTTTCAAGTCGAGAACGTGGACTGAGCACCTCCCCTGCGCCGGGCTTCATGGAGGGTGCATGACAAGTAAAGGCCTCCCAGAGCATGGGGGAGGGGCCGGGCACAGCCGAGGGCACCCACTCTGTGTGAGGCCCAGAGGAGCAGGACTGCGGTGGGGAGTGCAGAGGAGGGCCAAGTTCCCAGTGGTCAAGTCCGTGCTCTTCCCTCAGACTTGCTTCCCTCTGTGACATCTGACCTAGATAACTGTCAACCAGCTGGCACCCACAACCCCAGACCTTCTCGAGAGGCCCGTCCTCTGCCCCCATCGTCCACGGCAGGCCTTTCCCCACCCCTGCCCTGAGAGCCCAGCTCTCCCCTGGATTCCATCCCTCCAGGCTCTCTGCACTCCGGCGGCCTGTGCCATGGCTGCTCTGTGGACCATTCCCAAGTGTGCATCTTCAACCACGATCCCTTTCCAGCATTCTAGTCCTACCCTGCCATCTGCCACCAAGCTGCTTCCCAACCTCCCTTCCTGGTTTTTGATATGGGACAGCATTCTCCTGGTCTCTGAATTAGTCATTTCTGACTATATGGTCACCAATGTCTCTCAGCAGTCACTGTATCTGGCCGGTTCTTCTTTTGGGATCTGGTTCCCCCTCCACCCACCCATTTTCATTCTTAATCAGCTCCACCCTGGGTCAGAGCCTTTTCACCCCAGGCCACCCAACTGCACTCCAAAGTCTGTGCACGGCCCTGTACCAGGTACCAACCCAAGCTGGGAGAACCTTCCAGCAGCACCACTTGGAAGCATTTGCCTTCTCCCATCTCCACTCTCAGGGGTCCTGCAACTGTCCCAGGATAAAGCCTGGCACCCAGGTTGGTACACAAGGCCCTCTGTGGTCGCCCCAGCCTCCCTTCACTAGCTCACCAAAACCTCTGGATACATAGGCACAAAACTCAAGCCTTGCCCAGGGCCAAACTCAGCTCACACTGCCCTCACCTCCTTCCCTCCTCTGCCCGTCCAAACCTCACCCAGGCGATGGGCAACCTGTTGCGGGACCCAAGTAAGGAACCGAGGACTAATCTCCATTCCATAGCCAGCTTCAGTGATTTCACGTCGCTCAGCCTCCACTTTCCTGTATGACAGGAGGCGGCATGACCCACATCGCGGGCGTATAAAGGTACTCTGTGCTCCTCGCCCACAGTCCTGGGCACTGGGGCCACCAGCCCACGCCGGTGCCAGGGCAGTTGGCCACGGGTGGTGGCAGCTCTTCCCAGTGGCTGGTGTCCTGCTTACCTGTCACTTAGCTGGCTCAAATTCCCGCTCCCCAGGCCAGAGGCAAATTCTGCTTCCTCAGAAGGCCCCGCGCCGCCGCTCTGAGGCCACCGCGGCTCTGGCCACCCGCTGCCCAGCAGGTCTCTGTGGTTTCCCTCCCGTCGCTCGGCGGAAGCTCCTTAGCAGCGAGGGCCTCGGCTCGCCTGGCCTTTGAATCCTCGCCACACGGCCCTGGCCTGGCGGGAGCCAACTCTTAAAAAACAGACTTTTTTAAGACGAGAAAGAGTGACTCTGAGAAGCTGGAGGTCCCTGAAGAGCAACTTAATCTGAGGAGGCGCTCGTTGCCACACAGGTCAGTATGACAAGACGATGTAAGGTCACCCGTCAATGCCAGAGGTCTCAGACAGGACGCGCTGCCCTGCGGGACAGCAGGACTTAGACACGGGCCTTCGGAAGGGCGACACCCG